CAGCGCTTTTCCTTATTAAAATTTTTTTTCAATCACTTTAGACAGCGCTTTCATGAAAAGCGCTGTCTATTACCCTCCTTTAGCAACGCTTTTCCTTATTTTAAATTTTTTTTTTCAATCACTTTAGACAGCGCTTTCATGAAAAGCGCTATCTATTACCCCCCCCCCTTTAGCAGCGCTTTTCCTTATTTTAAAAAAATTTTTTTTTCAATCACTTTAGACAGCGCTTTTATGAAAAGCGCTGTCTATTACCCCCCTTTAGCAGCGCTTTTCCTTATTTTAAAATTTTTTTTTCAATCACTTTAGACAGCGCTTTCATGAAAAGCGCTGTCTATTACCCCCCCCCCCCCCCTTTAGCAGCGCTTTTCTTTATTTTTTTTTAAATATTTTTTTTTCCAATCACTTTAGACTGCGCTTTCATTTAAAGCGCTGTCTATTACCCCCCATTTAGCAGCGCTTTTCCTTATTTTTAAAATTTTTTTTCAATCACTTTAGACAGCACTTTCATGAAAAGCGCTGTTTATTACCCCTCCTTTAGCAGCGCTTTTCTTTATTTTTTTTTAAAATTTTTTTTTTCAATCACTTTAGACTGCGCTTTCATTTAAAACAAAACGCTGCCTATCAAATTTATTCTCACCGTTTTTGCACCAGAAATTATAGCTTCATTATAACATTTTAAACAACAACAACATTAATATATACCATAATGAAACAATATTATAACAACATCAATATTCATCTCTTAAATCCTTTTTGTACAATATACACAACAACAAGATTAATATATACCACAATGAAACAATATTATAACAACATCAATATTCATCTCTTCAATCCTTTTTGCACAATATACACAACAACAACATTAGTATATACAACAATAAAACAATATTATAACTACATCAATATTCATCTCTTCACTCCTTTTTGTACAATATACACAACAACAACATTAATATATACAACAATGAAACAAAATCCACGATGAATATATAACTCTATCTTCTACATCGAGTTGCACCTATATAACCGAAAACAAAATAAAAAAAATCAAAATTCATACAAGTTACCAAATAACAACAACAAAAACAATAATATTGTAACACAACTATAACGACATATATTATATTCTCAAAACTCAAAGTTATACCTTATAATAAAACTCTCAACTCCATAACAAATTGGCACCAATCCTCCATAAGTTCATCCAATTGATCTTTTGAGTATGAAGCACACTTGAATTCATTAAAGTACTACATAATAATATAACATAGTATGATTTAATTAAAATACTAAGTCATTTTATGAGAAATATGAAAATAATTCCTAAGTTAGAAATTCATACAGTGGATGGAATCTCTAATCGGTCCAAAAGAATAGTTTCTTTCATAAACCTCAACATAAAATAATCGCAATCTACACTATTGCGCTGACGAGGACACTACACATGGAAAGAAAATACGGATATACATCAAGATATACACCTTAACTTGTTTTATCAAGTATCATCGCTATATAATCAAAACTGTGAAAATCTATACCTCCACTTTGATCCAAGAAATATTGTTGACTCTACTCCTTGGTACTTGAATATCTCTTTGTGCTCGAAAACTTTGTAGAATGCTATAATAAAATAATAACGAATATTTAGAACTATCGCACATAAATAATTAAATATACACAGTAATATTTTGGAACAATGTCACTTACGTGTCAATTGTCTTCTTCATATCTGAGTATGTTGTCCAATCATTGCCCAATGAATCCAGATAATATACAATTTCTCTCACAGGATTAATTGCAAACAATAACCAGTGTCCACTGGAATATTAAACAAAGGTTAGATGGAAATTTTCTGCACAACGTTAAAAAACGAAAAATTATAATAGAGGTAATTTAGAATGAAAATCTTACTTGGGGTCAGTATTATATGGTAAAAAGAACAATTTTTCTGTATCTTTGCTGGCCATAAATAAACTGAGCACAAATGCTATTACTTCATCTGGTTTTGAGATTATTGACCCTGTGTGGACAATGTTGGGATTTATGAAGCGAATCTGGACTCCAATTCACGCGGGCGAATCAACTTGTCATACAGAAACCTTAAATAAAAACATCATTAACATTAATTATTCATTGAAATGAGTAAATAAATTCTGCAATTAATTAAACAAAGTTGATTGGAGTATACCTGATGTATGTATTGATAACAGCCATGCCTAATGTCAAGTGTCCAAAAACGTGTTCCAAATCCTCCTTACCAATTGCTGTCATGCCTTCAGAACCATAAATCCCTTCATGCAGGGGTATAAGAGAAGTACCACCTTGCGAAATAGTTGTGAAGCTTATAAATGTCTGAAGGCACGACCTATATTGTGAAGTAGTTTTCTTTCTAGCCCCGGACCTCTTAGCAACACTCTTTGTTTCTGTGGGAATGTTGCTAATTACAGGCTCCTTACCCCTACTTACAGCTTCAATCTCTTTAGCAGGAATAATCTAAATATCATAAAATTAGAGTGGTCAAGTATAGGACGACAAATTAACATTATATAAGCATAAATATCATATAACTTTGTTGTACCTGTTTTTTTGCTGTCACTGACTCCTCTGGCCGCGTAATCCCTTTATCTTTTGGTTTGGGTTTTGTAGGAGTCTAACATTACCATGCAAAAAAAAAGTAAGTAAAACGAACGTAAAAAATTTGAGTACTAAAAGGTTCATAAATGTTTTAATTATACCTCATCATCTATGCGAACAAGCCTTGACGGCCATGCAACAAACGCTCATATTGCCTCTCCCACCAATGTTGCATCTGAAACTTCATCTGGGATTGGTGATAACGCACCCTCCTCTAAAGCAATATCAATCGACACTTTCAAATATCCAGAAGGGAGCGGTTTATGATGAAGTACTTCTCCCAGAGTGTTATGGACTTTTCCCTTGCCAACCATGCGATAAGTTGGTGTCTCTAAAAAGAGTTGACAAGGTGAAATGCCCTAAAATCAATAATAAATATGACATCGTTAAAGTGTATATATGTCAGTTAAATAAATTACACTAATTTAATTTCATAATAATATATGTAAGTACCTCAGGAATACTCGGTTGAGCTGCACAATTGACACTAGCTATGTCACTAGCTTCTTTAACACCCGAAGCTTCCCTTTCTGATTGGTATTGTCTTGCTTTTTCCTTCCTCAATTCAAGAACTTCAGCTACTAATGCATCCAACCTGGCATGCAGTTCTTTATTGCTAGCAGATTTTGTCTTTGGATTGTTCTTTTTCAAGGAGGTTGGAGTAACCCCATGTCCTTTACCCCTCACCCGACCAGAATACTCACGAACATCTAATGCTCGACTAAGTATGCTCCTGCAATCATCTGGTGGAGATGTAGACTGAGACAGACTCTCCTGAAATTCATATGAATATTGGAAAAACATGAATACTATATGTTAATAAAATTTTGATTTAATTAGAATTAATGTTATACTTACGCATTTTTCAAAAATTTGTTGTACATCTTCTTTGAGAACTCCATCCTTACCCACACGGGCAGCCTTCCACAAAACATGCTCCGGAAGAGATGTTTTTGAACTACTCTCCTCTTTTAACTACACATTAACACAAAAAACAAGCTCAGTTATAACTATTGATGAACAAGTATATCATTGCAATTTGTAAATACTTACTATTTTTTGTTCTAATCGTACATATCCCAAACGCCCTTTTTTGTATGGATATGCGGGAGATGATGCTCTTAGACGATTTACTTCACTAACACTCTGAAATTTTGGGGTTTTCCGTTTGTCTTTAAAAACATCCCATTCTTTAACTGAAATCACATCCGCATATTCTGCTGGACGCTCTGCATCAACAAATTTTTTTTCGGCATCTCTAAGATATTTTCTGTTTAAATATGTTCTAAACCCTCTCAGTATTTTGCCGGCCAATCCAAGACAATAATATTTTCTTTTGTCATCAATGTTGAAAGACCTCTACAAAAAACATACACAAAGTGCGTTAGTATAAGTAATTTAAAGACATAATTTAAAGTACATAATCGTAATTTAAAGACATAATTTAAAGTACCTGTATCTCACTCCAGATTTTGTTTTTAGCATCATTCAGCTTATCATCTCTCCACTCATCACAAGTTATTGGAATTTCTCTCCTTACAAGTGTGCCAATGTAACTTGTCAATTTAGAACCGTTAGGCTCAATTAATTGGTCATTTGGACTCCAATGCACATCATATTTTATACCCCTATCTCTATCACAAATGATATTCTTCATAATAGTTTTTCCTCTTTTTATTTCTTTTTCCACTCCCTTACTGGATTTTCCTCCATCATTGTCTCCATCATTAATAGAATCATCGTGAGGGTGCTCCTCGTTACTAGCCATCTAACCTGTAATAAAGAAAAACATTAGTATCTAATGAGAAATATTTAATTCCAAATATATAATTCCAAATATCAATTGAGTATATAAAATGACAAATATCAATTGAGTATATAAAATGAAAAATATCAATTGAGTATATAAAATGACAAATATCAATTGAGTATATAAAATGACAAATATATAATTTATTAGTAGCACCACATAACAAATAGTAGCATGTTGTGCCCATAAATCAAACCAAATTACTTCTGTTCTAGTTAGCTCTAGTTAAAATAATATTAATTTCCGTATAATGCTGATAATAAATGTGTTTTCTTATTATTGTAAGAAGACATAATAACTTATTCTATCATGTATCTCTTATCTTATCATCAAATAACCCCTAAGCTTTTTGTTCATATAAGCACGAGTATATAAAGGAGCTAATGTTTATAAAAATATTTGCAGGCAATAAGTAATAATGTTTATAACTTAAAAATATGCTAGTATATATTTAGAATAAGAAACCTAAAAATTTAGAATAAGAAACCTAAATTTCGAATAAGAAACCTAAAAATTGTAACATTCTAAAACTGCATATTATCAATTTCACATATCACTCAACAACTCTTTCATTATTTTGGAGCATCTCAACCACCTGACTCATATTAGGCCTAATATCCATATCTTCCTCTACACATTACAAAGCAACTCTAACCAAAATATCCATCTTACTTAAATCACAACTAGTCCCAATTGCTGGATCCAAAATTTCTTCCACCCAACATTGACTCCTCTTTTTCTCTCTCACCCAACTTATCAAACTTCCATTGTATGTCATTTCTCCATCCTCTCCTTCTATATTCATTAATGTTTGATTCTTTCCAGTTATCATCTCCAACACAACAATCCCATAACTATAAACATCTACTTTAGATGTTATTGGTAAATGGAAAATCCATTCAGGGGCCATGTATCCTCTTGTTCCTCTAATCATTGAGAATGTTGAGTTATTATTGAGATCGTTTCTATTTTTCAGCTTAGACAATCCAAAATCTGCTAACTTGGGCTGAAAGTTAGAATCAAGAAGTATGTTTTGTGGCTTTATATCACAATCTAAAATCCACTCCAAACATTCTTCATGTAGATAAGCTAGAACTCTAGATATTCCTAAAGCGATATCATACCTTTTACTCCAATCAAGTGTGTTGTTTTAGATGAAAGATTTTCAGCTAAAGAGCCATTTTCCATGTACTCATATACCAAAATTCTATGCTTACCTTCAATACAATATCCCCACATTTCAATCAAGTTCATGTGATTAAGCCTTCCGATGATGCTTACCTCGGCTTGAAACTCTCATTCTCCTTGTTTAGCTTCATTCAATCTCTTTATTGCAACATCTCCTTGATCTGGCAATGTACCTCTATAGACAACCCCTCCTCCACCTCTTCCAATCTCATTACTAAAATTCTTTGTAGCTACCTTCAACTCATAATAACTATACCTTCTAAATCTCAATATTGCATGATGATAACTATTTTGATTTCCACTAGACTTTTTTTTGGTTTTATTTAAACAAACCCCAACTACAATAAAGAAAACAAATTCTAAACCACCAACTGCAATTGAAATCCACAAAAAAAACCTCACAAAATTATCTGTTGGCTTTCTGAAATAGTGTTTGGAAAGCTGCACTAAACAAATGTGATCTTTTACACTCACAGACTCTTGTTTTGAGAAGTTCTTGCCTTTTGGAAGTCTCAAGTAAGTTGTTCCTAGAAAACTTGGTGAATGCCTCCCATTCAACAATTGTAGCTTTGTATAGCATTCAAAGATGTTACTTCCATCTTTATATGTGTATTGGAATCCTGTACAGTTACATTGTTGTAAACACAAACTTTAAGGTACATAAATACTTTGCAAAGTATCTTGCATCTTAGAACAGTCACTCAAACTTGTATGTTCTTAATATTTGAAACTGAAGTAAATATATGTATGCTACTTGTGTTTCAGTTTTGAAAATAATGCACTCAACGGCCCAGAACTGAAAGGACTGGTTCCTTATGACTTTGGATGCTAAGAAAGGTTGAAGAATACTGGCCTTCTCAGATTACTATGAAGAGGCTTCTTTACCTGGGCAACTAGTAATATCAGAGATGTATGATTGCTACAAAATGAATCTAAGTATGTCAAAATATATCTAATAGTAAATAAGATGATAGTAGCATCTGTCTCTCTGGTTCTAGGCTGCATAGCAAGACTAGGATCATGTTGAGTGTCAAGTAAATGTGTTTGGTTGTAATTTATTCCTTTTTATATACTTAGATCAAGCAAAAGGCTTTAAAATTTTGTTTTTGTTTCCTGAATATTAACCGGACAACAACCCTTTTCATTTTGATGCTCTGCTTTGTTTCAAAACCAAAGAAACACATCTGCTTAAAATTAAAATGCTTTAGAAAATGATTGAATGTGGGGCTTCTAATTATGCTCCTTCAAACTCAAAAGGATCCAAGTGGTTTTCTGCCTAATTCTTCTGTTTAATTTGCATAGTCAAGCACCATGTTGATACAAAATCAGTAAAATACAACTTTAAAAATGATACTTAGAAAATGCAGCAATCTACAATTGAGAGTGGTGTAAAATTTATTTTAATGGTAGATGTGAAACAAAATCAAATCTCTAAACCATGGTAGATGCAGAAACAAACATATTCAGCCATGCTACAAGTACAACTGCCTCGCTGCTCTTTGAACATTTGTTTTACCCTGACCTCTCTAACATCATATTTAAAAACCATATTCATTTCTTGCTACCTCAACAAAATATGTAACAATCTTATCATCTTATGTCAAGATAAGATGCTAGCTAGATTGGGCTAATTCCACAATCAAAATCTAAACAACTATAACCTGTTCAGTAAGTCCAATGAAAAATGCAATACAACAGAATAAAATCACAAGAGTGTTCTACGAAAGATAATATTTGTCATAGAGAAATGAATGATCATTTTATCACCAACACGCAAAGTCGCAACAACAGTTCAAATTCAATTGCAAAAGTTCACATAGAACAAAAGAAAAAGTGAAGTAAAATTTAACCTAAATAAAGAAACGCAGAAAAGCAAAACGGTTGAGAATGAAATAAACAACAAAAAATAGAGAAAGAAAGAAAAGAGAATATCATATCAACGAAGCGAGCGTCAAAATCAGCAGAATGAGAACCCTTGAGTTTTCCTTCAAGTTCGCATTGAATCTTGAGATGTTTAGAAGCAGAGTTGGAGATGGTGGTAACGAATCCGAACGAAGCGAGTTGGAGAAGAAGATGAACCACGTCCACGGCGAGGAGGGAGGATACGAGTTAGACGAAGATGAACAGTTGCGTGTATAAAGTGGGGTTTTGTATAAAGTGGGGTTTCTGATAACCAATTTAGGGATTTAGAAATTTTTTAATTACCTTAGGCAGCGCTTTCAAGAAGTGCTGCTAAAGGTATTACCTTTAGCAGCGCTTTAAGGCTTTAGCAGCGCTTTAGTGTAATGCCTTTAGCAGCGCTTCTTGAAAGCGCTGTCTAAGGTATACCTTTTATCACACCTTTAGCAACGCTTTTGGTAAGCGCTGTCTAAGGTATACCCTTTAGCAGCGCTTATTCTTATTTTTTTTATTGAAAACCTATAGCAGCGCTTAGGGAAAGGAAGCGCTGGCTATGATAAAGCCTTTAGCAGCGCTTTTAGTAAGCGCTGTCTAAGGTATACCCTTTAGCAGCGCTTATTCTTATTTTTTTATTTTTTTTATTGAAAACCTATAGCAGCGCTTAGAGAAAGGAAGCGCTGTCTATGGTAAGGCCTTTAGCAGCGCTTTTAGTAAGCGCTGCCTAAGGTATACCTTTAGCAGCGCTTACTCTAATTTTTAATTTTTTTTTTAAAACCTATAGCAGCGCTTATGGCATAAGCGCTGTCTATGTGGCGCTGTCTAAATTCAATTTTGGCATAGTGATAATGGGCCCAACTTCCCTATTATCTCGGAGCAGTTGACCAGGAAGGAGACCACGCGCTGGACTCCATTACTCACGTAATCTCGACAGTCTGCATTATTGGACCTAACTACTTGGCCCAAAACGTGGATCTTGGCCAAGCACTGGGAGATATAAATACCCTCTCACGTGAGAGAGTCAGGTATTTATTCATTCTACACACTTTCATTACTTTCATTTACTCTGAACCTTACTTTGGTATCGAAGTGTCTTGCAGGTACCCTCCACTTCACTTCAATAGCCATCAGTTCCAGCTTGTGAGCTATCGATGATCCCTTCTGATCAAGTAAAAACAGTGACGCCGTCTGTGGGAAACTGCTTCCCCATCTTTTATTAACTGAAGATCAAAGCAAACTTTTAACCTCACGATCATCATGGCCGCTCAGGTAAACAATGATGACCAGAACTCCACTTCGTCGGCCTAGGTAACAACAACAACGTGGGCGTCCATGAGCACGACCTCAGAGACGAAAGAATTGATTTCTCTTCCACTCGACAATATCTGTTGGATAACCCTCACCAGCAGATCGAGCAACCCGCGGTGTACCAGGAAATCCCAATGCCCGCTAATACTGACCTCTCAACCCAGATCCTGATTGTGACGCTCAATCAGACCAACTACATGCTCTTCGCACATGGTGAACGCCTTACAATGCTAAAAACCCGCAGGTCCCCAAAAAGATACAAGAGGCCTGACTCGTGCACCCCATCTTCTCGATGACAAAATCCCCGTTCGCGATCTTCTCTGCGGAGACACCAATAGGGAGATTCTCGCAGTCCTTCTCCCTTTCGTACTATGCGACACCCCAACTAGAGATGACCCAACAAGAACTCGTCAAGAAGCACGACTGTACCCCTCTTCATAAAGGACGACATTTCCTAGCTCTAGAGAAGGATAAGGGGAAAGAAGAGAAGAAAACTCGGCCGAGGAGTCCTCCTCACCATAGAAGACACTGCCACGATTTCTCCCCATCCCGGTCCCCAAAACTAGAGAGCGATGAAGATGATCCACGTGGTCTGATGTCCCAAGCCATTATGGAGGCTTCTATCCTTAAGGGAATGGAGAAACCTCCACTTCTGAACAACTACGATGGCTCGACAGGTCCTGATGACCACGTCGACACCTTCGAGGCGATGCTCCAATTCCATAATGGCGGGGGTGCCATCAAGTGCAAGTTATTTCCCACGACTTTGAGGAAAACTGCTATGGACTGGTACAAGGGCCTTGTCCCCGAATTCATCACTTCTTGGAGAAATCTGAAAATCCAGTTTTCCAGCAGATTTATTGCTACTTGACGTCACCCAAAGACAGAGGCGTCCTTAGAAGCAATCATCCAGGGATCCAAAAAATCTCTCCGAGCATACGTTGACCAGTTCAACCGCGAAGCCATTTAGGTCCCCACCATCGATCGCATAAAGAGGTATCTACTCGAGAAAGGCCTTCTGCCATGCATCGATTTTCATAAAGCAGTTGGCATTGAGCCCCCGAGGTCGTTCGATCATCTCCTCTATAAAGCTCGGGCTTACGTCATGTATGAGGAGAAGAAGGCCTCTAATAATGTCCACGAATCTAGGAACCGCTGAGCACCCAATGCCTCGAGGCACAACAACGCATGATCATCCCGACGACCCAGGGATAAGAGAATGGATGAAAAGCCTCGTAACCTTCACGAGCATAGAGGACCATCCGGGCGCTTTACCGAGTACACTTCTTTGACCGTTCCCGCGGGTGCATCATCGCCGAGTGTGCCAATTCTGAATTCAGGGACAGCGGGGTCCGTCGACCGAAGCCCACACCCTTCAAGCCCGGGTCGACAAGACTAAATACTGCCAGTATCACCAGAGCCACGACCATGTTACCGAGGAATTCATCCATCTGAAGAATTCTATTCAGACCCTCATCAAGGCGGGGAGACTCGGGAAGTATAAGAAGAACGACACACCATGCCGTAACACTCGCGAGGTGAAAGAGATCGAGGAGGATGCCCGCCCCTCTGACGAAGCTGGACCCCACCCAGTTGCCATGTCTGTTTCATGACCTGAGGATTTCTATATCCCCGACGACGTCGAAGATGAGGAGCTCTTATTTACCCATAGTAGATAGGAAAAATTCCCCTTCGCCATGATCAATTATGGCAGGGGATTCGACACTTTCTCCGTGAATTCGATGAAAAGGAAATTTGAGGAGATGATAGATGCGACCCTGGTCCAGACCGTGACCCTTGATAGGTTCCAAGGAAAATCCAAACCCATCACCTTCTATCTCGAGGAACTGTCTGGTGGAGCTCCCAAATCCCACATCCCTTTGCTTGTACGAGAAAATATGGGCAGCTTCGACGTACACCGCATCTTGGTCGACGAGGGGAGTTCTGTTGACGTCATGTACACTCAGTTGTTCCAGACTTTACAGTCGGACACTTCCCACTTGTCACCATAAGTGGGGTCCGTTCTGCAAGGCTTCATTTTCTTGAACTATAATCCATGGGGCTACGTCGAGCTCCTGGTCACATTCGGGATAGACACAACTGCTAGACAAGTGAAAGTCCACTTTCTAGTGGTCGACTTCCCATCCCTTTACAACTGAATCCTGGGAAGACCAACGCTGGTTGAGTTAATTGTCGTGCCTCTACAGTTCATCTAAAGATAAAGTTCTACACAAAGAGGGGTCGCGTCGCCACCATTCAAGGAGACATCTAAGTTGCGAGAAGGTGCTTTAATGCAACATCAAAAGGATAGAACATGGTCGACACAAAGCCGAAGAATTCCAGTGGAACAACTTCCTCCGCAGCCAAGCCCGCTCA